TATATATCTTAATTAATTACAATTAGCGGGACCTGCCTGACAACCCATGCCGAAAGTAAAGGGAATTTAATTTGCTAGCATTATATTTAACCCTATAACTTTCCAAGACACCATAAAACCTGTACATGGGAGTACTGTTCTACTCGGGAGACTTCGCTGAACACAAATATTAGTGTTTCAAAACAGTAAAATGTATTACAACGATGATATCGCCAGTAAAAGTGAAGTTTTTTGCATTTTTCACGCACAAACAGCACTTACACGGACGATATTATTGCTGCGATACTTTTTACTGTTTTGAAACACAAATATTTGTGTTCAGCGAAGTCTCCCAAGTACAACAGTACCCCTCATGTACAGGTTTTATGGTGTTTTGAAAAGTTACAGCGTCAAATATAAGGCTTGTGTTTCATTTTTTTCACATTAAAATTCGCCAGATTGGTTACGTTGCCTTTGAGACCCTATGGTTGCCCAAGAATGAAAATTACCCCTATGATGGCATACCATTTGCAAAAGAAGACAACCCAAGGTATTGCAAACGGGGTATGTCCAGTCTTTTTTAGTAGCCACTTAGTCACAAACACTGGCCAAAATTGGCGTTTTTTGCATTTTTCACACACAAACAAATACTAACGCTAACTTTGGCCAGTGTTTGTGACCAAATGGCTAATAAAAAAGACTGGACATACCCCATTTGCAATACCTTGGGTTGTCTACTATTGCAAATGGTATGCCATTATGGGTGTAAATTTCATTCCTGGGCTACTATAAAGTCCCAAAGGCAAAGTAACCAATCTGGCGAATTTCAATTTCAAATGTAACGTGCTATATTTGACCCTGTAACTTCCCAAAACGCCATAAAACCTGTACATAGGGGGTACTGTTTTACACGTGAGACTTTGCTGAATACAAATATGTGTATTTTATTGCAGTAAAAGCAAACAGTATTATGACATTGACAGTTAAAATGTCATGTAGAACTAAATAAATTTAAAAAAAATCTTATTTTCTCCCATTTTTTTCATATTAAATTATGTTTCATAGCTAAATATTTGATATTAAATGAAAGCCCTGTTTCCCCTGAATAAAATGATATATAATAAGGGTGGGTGCATTTAATATGAAAGAGTTGAATTACGGTTGGACAGACATGTAGCGCAAATGCCGGGTTTTGTTTACATTTTGTTTTGTTCACAACGTGTACATTTGCCTCCGTCCTTAAGGGGTTAAGACTCTATTTTGGACATTTTATTATTATTATTTTTATTTTTTTAAATTCTTTATTTTTCAAAGTGCAGAGTAAATAACACAAGGCAACATTGATGAATTACATAGCAGGTATTGTAAATGACAAGATATGCTGCACATTTTTCTTTTTTAATAGTTAAGGTTACAAGAGTAAATAGCACTATTGTCTAGAGTAATATATAACATGACATGCCGTTTGAACTGACAACAGGTACTATGGATTATGCATGTATAAAGTTCAGTAGTTTAGTTAATGCTAAATTGCAGGATGAATAACCTGGTTAACAATATTGGTGTTATCAGGGAAGCCCCCTACACGCTGGTGATCAAGTTAGAGGTAATAGTGTGAGCTGTTATGGGGTGGAATATGCAGTCCGCTTAGATGGCATACAGTCTGTCTTCAATATGACTATGGGGGGCTTGTCTGATAGGCTATGCTGGCCCTAGTCCCTATTAAACAGTCTTGAGTCCCACAAAGTGTAGAAATAACAGAAAAATCGAATGCTGAGAAGTAACTAGAAATAAAGTAAAAGCATAGTTTATGCTGATCGTCGCTAAGTTCAGCCAATGCCCCGAGGGGGCTCTGTGGGGAGTTCCGGTATCAGACCTGTCTGCTCGTTGGCTTGAGGGTATGTCTAAGGATGTTCGGAGTTGGTCCTGTCCGGCAGGGCCTGATGGGTCCCCATCGCTGTCTTTGCAAACCAACGTGAGTAGGAGTGTAGGTTTTTCCGGGTCCCCATGTATGGCGGTGGCTGTAGGCTGGACTGGGGTTTTGCTTTGTGTAGTCGGGTAACAGCCGCTTCTTTGCATGGGTGCGTGCGTTTGCTAGTGGGTGGGTAGCGTCGTCATGTAGGGCGCTGTCTATAGGTCTGCTTCGTCGGGGCATGAGAGCCTCTTAGGTTAGAGCACGAGGGCAGTGTCACGGATGAGCACCCATCTGGTGTCTGTGTACGTGCCTGCCGTTCTCTCTGTTCCATTTTCCACCAGAATGCTGTGAATATGACATCCAGCCGTGCTTGGAAGTTGAGCCCTTGAGTGAAGTCACTCTGCCTGATGGTGGTCTCCGCCATTTTGGAGTCAGCGAGTTTCGCCTGGGGGCATTGCCAGTCAGCTCGGTGGGGCTCCCCTGGGACCAAGATAACCCCCATCAGTCCATAGGGGGGGGGGGGAACGGTGCCCTTGTTCAAGATTGTAGTGTTTGTGGGCAGCAGGGGAGCACGTGTGTAGGCCTTGAGTGTCGCATCAGTGATTCCTGCAGGGTAGGCTGCTTGTTTGGTGCCATTATGTGCCCCTTGATGTCACCTCAAGGTTGGTGTCCCACTTGTGTTTTTTAAGGGTTGTTTGTGGCTTATAGTCGGCAATGTTTGCCTTGAAGAGCAGGAGCAGCACTTTCCTGCGTCCGCTCAGCTCAGCGGTCCGGCCCCACCCCCTGGACATTTTATTATTATCATTGATCACACTTGTTTTTTTTAATGTATTTATTTTTAGTCTTTGATTGTCCTTCTGTTATCATCTTCATTTACATATTGGTTTAATATATAACCTACATCTCCCCTTTCTTTGTAAAACTCCTTTTGTCTGTAGGGTTTAGAGGGGGCCCTACCTGTTTGGGGTGTGCTGCCCAATTATTTTTTCATCTATTTATTCACTTTATTGTGATTTGGATAATTAAGCACTGATCCTTCTGTTTTTATCTTTCCTCATACAGAACAACAGGGCTACTCCGGGCCAAATTTCCCCATTTCCGTAAAACACGCTTCCTCTGCAAGAAAGCACACATTTTTGTGCATTTCTGGTCTTGTCAACTCTCCGCTGATGCGTATGAAGGATTGCTTTTTAGCAATCCCAGGTAGTTTCATTCATGAAATACATTAATGAAACAAACCAGTCTTTTGATAGCTTGTCAAAAAACAATTTTGTTTTTGCTTTTTTTAAATTAATTTAGCTATTTGCGACTGCACAAGCAACAGCACTGACTTTCTCATAGAAAGCCAATAAAGACTCCTAGGATTTTACTCCATTTAGTGGGAGGGATTGTGATGTTATTGAACTGCTGTCTGGGCGTATAACGTTCTCAGTTTTTGTAGATCGATATAATTGACGGGAACTCCTTTAATCACAACTTATGCAGAGATATTCGGAGTGTCCCTTTCATGCAAAGTTCACAACTGAAAAGAAAATGGGGAAGAATTTTCACATGGGTTAAAAGATGAAAAACAAAAGTTTTCCTTTGTCATCAATGTGAAAAGGACAAACCGTGACCTTGTTTTTATGAAAACAAACAAGAATAAAACAAAGGCTACAAATAGCCAATACAATAACACCTTAAAGGAAACCACGCTGAATGGATATTTGTTTTTTATTGCATGTTTACAAAATATTTACTATTTTCCCAATATTTTTGGATAAGACTTCTCTGAAACAATGGAGATTTTATTTAAAAACTCCAGTGGGAACTCTGAAAGCGACATGTTTATACTATGGCTTCCCTCGGGCACATCACATTCTTCCTCCTTCAAATTCACAGATTTAAATTATTATTCCTCTAAAAACACCCACCCCCCTCCAAGTTTTTTTTTTTCTTTCTCTGTCTTACAATATTTGAGTTGGTCCTTTGACCAACAGACAGAGATGGAGGCCTGTCTTCATTACAGGAAGTAATGAGAAGTGTAGACGGAGGGTTAGCACAGTTAAATAGGGTTTGCTGTTCCACACTTTTAAAGGGACACCAAGACACCATAACAATCTATGGTCTTTGCCATCCAAGCTTTTTATTATTGAAGAAATTGCATGTATTATGGCCATTTTATGTTATATTGTAGCATATAAAATGTACAGACAGTTAACAGCATATCATGCTACATTTTAAGTGCATTCAATAAGAGTAATAGACATCCATATCTGAAATAGGTCAGCAATTAAAACAGCATCTTAAAACTGTCAAGGTGAACATTATCAGATGTGTGATGCACAATTTTGAGAGGAATATTATATATGCTAACACATTCTGCTTCAAGTGGGAGGATATGGTACGATAGGAAAAAGGCATTTATCAAATAATCCATAATCAAAAATAACAAACTCAAAATCAACCAAATGTGGGCCATCTATGGCCAAAGGAAGGTCATCTCCTGAAGACAAACAGGTAAGTCATTGGCAACTGGTGTTTGAAGGAAAATCTGTGCACCATCCCTAGGAGTATGAGTCGGGTGACATCCGAAGTCAGAGCCTCTGCTGCTTGTCTGGATTTTGAATTAAGAAGACTATATGTTGCCTATGTCCCACAACTGAGCCAAGGGCTTAGGATTTGTATTAAGTATCAATAAGATCTTTGGCATAGGCAGTCCCAGAGCCTTAAGGAAATGCTCTTTATCCGACTGGAGAGTAACTGGATTTGCGTCCCACCACGAAGCATGTATAGCTTCCTGCCAGGGCCCCAACGGTTCGACTTTATGTTCCCTCAACTGCAATGCGACAGGACGCACAGATTGTTGCCAGACTATAGTGGACCTAGTAAGGTCATTGAAGGAGGAGAGGTTGGAACCCTCAAAATGGTAAGTTGGTGAGTCGCGGATAGCTGCTTGAACAAACTGCTTACTCCTGATTTATTGGAAACAGAGCAGTAAGTCTCTATGGAACCCAGCAGGGGCTCTAGGTGATTTGTGGATCTGAAATAATTCTCTAGTGTGGTAGCTTTAGCCTTAGTTGGTAGGAGCATTGAGCTCAGCAGTATTCGTATATAATGCGGAACCTCAGCATCTGTGATATCCTCCGAAACACCCGAATCCCGAGGTTTCACTGTCTCTTGGAATCATGAAGCGTCGCAACTCTAACATCCATGAGGAGGTTTGCTTGCTTAAGCTTGTCCATCTCGGTCTGCCCTTTGCAATATCGCCGTCACCCTCCAGTGTCTGCAATCTGGCTGTCATAGCCCCCAGGTCCTCATGGACTAATGCAATGTTGACAGCAAATAGGGCCTTCATCTTTTCCAGCAGCTTTGCTGACAGGAATTTTTTCCATGCTGAGATTGGTGCTTGCCGGCCTAATCACATGTAGGTGCTCCAGTTGAAGATACGAGTTTGCCCTCGATGTACCATGTGTGATGGGGATTAAGAAGTCTTCCGCTTTGCTCTTCTCTGATGCAGTGTCGGAGTCTTCCCGCGTCTGGAGAGTCACTCTGGGCAAGGTGCCAATATCTCTGGAAGAGGAAGCTATGTCGTTTCTCCAGAGTTTAGCTTTCCCCCCATAGTGTCTGGATACCTTTTGGGTGCTTAGCGAGCAATTTCACCAGATATATGGCAATATATTTTGGCACTCTCACAGGAGCTCTAAGCATGTGCGTCTGTTACGTCCAGTAGCTTGCTCTGCCCCACCACTGTATTATTCTTTAAAGCACACATATAAGTATATATTTCTTTATAGTACCCACCATTGCTTGCTCTTCGGTCAGACATTTCCCTGAGCTGGAAAATATTCACATATCAGACAGCTAGTTCATTCATAATTTCTAATGTTATTTGCAAATGTCAAACATGTCAAACACATGTTAAAAGGGAATCTCTAACTATTCAAATAGCACATGGTATTCAGGCAGAGAAATGGTGCTTCAGACCACAGATGACGTAAAGATGGCCACATGCAAGATGCACAAACATGCTACATTAATATATTAATAATAGTTTTCCTTTAAATGTCATGTTTAAATCATAGATTCTGATTAGATTCTGACATCATGTGTTCTTAGCAACTAATTTATTGTAAATCATGACAGCTGCTGGAGTTTGAAATATTGTGATGCAATACTATATAGAAAGAATGAATATTATTAATCAGTTTATAGTATTGTTTTAGACTAAGCTGCGTAAATGAAAAGTATGCTTTAATTGGGGGAGCAGGACTCTGTTAAATGTGACAAAAATGAGAAGTATACGAAAATCTAAGTACAGAGGAGTCATAGTCATTAATGGCAGGAAGTGATCACTGATACATTCTGAATGAGATGTACAGTAATGAGTAAACAGCTATTTCTGAGAACATTCCAAGTATTATTAATGGTCAGAGCCTTTGGATCTGGGAGGTCAAAAATCCACTTAACAAGAGCAAGGTTTCAGGATGTGAAATAGCCATCGAGCAAAGTTCAGGAGAACAGGTGAGTTTTCCAATTGGAACTTCTTTAAAGTCTCTAAAAACATTCATGAGATGTATCTTTAACACTTTCTATATCATCATCTCAAAATCTAGCAAGTAATGAGAACACCGAGGCTCTGACGTCTGAGTGGTTTAGAAGCTTCTTTATCTTGTTGGCCAAAGTTACTCAATGGGTGGATTGCTGACACGATCCAAACACATTGTGTGCAAATATGTATCAGTCTGTATTTCCTGCTAAAATATTTCTTACGTAACTGCCCGTGTAAAGAATGCCCCTATTTAGCAGTTAAAGGACTACTCTAGGCACCCAGACCACTTCAGCTTAATGAAGTGGTCTGGGTGCCAGGTCCCTCTAGGATTAAGAGAAACTGCTATGTTTATGTTAGGGTTAATCCAACCTCCAAATCTAAGTGGCTGTCTCATTGACAGCCGCTAGAGGCGCTTGCGTGATTCTCACTGTGAAAATCACAGTGAGAACACGCAAGCGTCCATAGGAAAGCATTGTAAATGCTTTCCTATGAGACCGGCTGAATGCGCGCGCAGCTCCTGCCGCGCGTGCGCATTCAGCCGAAGGGGAGGAGAAGAGGCGGAGAGGAGGAGGAGAGCTCCCCGCCCGGCGCTGGAAAAAAAGGTAAGTTTTAACCCTTTCCTCTCCCCTGAGCCGGGCGGGAGGGGGACCCTGAGGGTGGGGGCACCCTCAGGGCACTATAGTGCCAGGAAAACGAGTATGTTTTCTTCGCACTATAGTGGTCCTTTAATGTATTCAAGTGTTTAAAAAGTGCTGAGGCTCCTTCAATGTTAAATGGTCAGTGGCCTCATAAGAAGAAAGCGAATAAAAGAGGTTATTGTGGGGTAAACTAGAGTGAGTGGACTGAATATCCCATTGGATATTTAGTAAAAAGAATAGGATCTCTAATTCTGATGGCAGTTTAGACTACCAAAACTAAAGCAGTGTGCACCTCCACAAGCTAAATTTGGGGAATATTTACAGGCAAATCAGATGTGATGAGCTCTTCCCCAATTCATAATTTTGAGTCGAGGTTGCATTGAAAACAAAAAGTAACATGCCTGTCCAGAGTTTAAAGAAACAACCAACCAATTAACTAATCTGCAAAATCTTTAGAGACGCTGAACGTTCTGGCTAATTCATAGCAGGTCTCACTTGACTGAGCAGAGAAGGGTTTTGCTAAATTACACGAAACGTAGAACACCTATAGCCTTGTTTGCACATCACCCTCACGCAAGAGTGTCACACAAGAAGTTAAAAGGTATTTATCCAATCAAAAATGGTTCGCTTTGATCCTGTTATGTTCACAAACTTCAGTTCATTGTCGATACACCAAACAAAAGGCCTAATGCGATTGGAAGAAATGCATCAATCAGTGAGTTAAAAAAAGCCTAAGGAATTCTCATGAATGTAATCCTATAAATGAACAATAATCCCTCCTTCTTTCAAGAGCTATCAAAGAGAAAGGAAATTCTTATTTAAAGGGGCAGCGCCAGTTCTTTATTGCTTAGATGAGATTCAAAACAAACTTCACACACGTTAGGATGAGAAGTCGAGGACACAAGATATTCATCTGATGTTGACTTCTTTAGTCATTCTCTTCAAGACCTCATCAATATTACACGATGAGGAGACTTCAGAGGCTGAGTATCAAAGTGTTTCATCTGTAAGATTGATGTGAGGCCAATCCTCACCCCAGTAATCTATTAATAGGTAGATACAGGACCTGCCTTCAGCCCTCACGGGGAATGATACATGGATTTACAGGCACGAGATAGTAATAATTAAAGATTCTGCTTCAACGCCAATGGAATAATGCTTCAATTCACACGATTTATTGACGTTCTATAAACATTAACACATTAACACAAGTAATGAAACAATGCTAAATGAGATAGGAATGGGGATTTAAGAGATCACACAGTCTCATTTATATGTCAGGGTAAGGTTGGTGGTGTAGGATTTTGTCCCAGCCCACTTGATGTTTTCGAGACGGGATGCTGTTATGCCCATGGATGAAACCTCTCTGGAAGGATCCAAACACCTGTCCAATCACAGAGGACTTTTTTGACTGACAGCCCCAAACTAAACAGTGTCCAATCAAAGAGGACTTCTTTGGCTGACAGCCTCAACCTAAACAGTGTCCAATCTGAGAGGACTTTTTTTGCTGATGGCCTCGATCTAAATACTGTCCAATCAGAGAGGACTTCTTTGGCTGACAGCCTCAATCTAAATACTGTCCAATCAGAGAGGACTTTTTTGGCTGATGGCCTCGATCTAAATACTGTCCAATCAGAGAGGACTTCTTTGGCTGACAGCCTCAATCTAAATACTGTCCATTCAGAGAGGACTTCTTTGGCTGACAGCCTCAATCTAAATACTGTCCAATCAGAGAGGACTTCTTTGGCTGACAGCCTCAATCTAAATACTGTCCAATTAGAGAGGACTTCTTTGGCTGACGGCCTCGATCTAAATACTGTCCAATCAGAGAGGACTTCTTTGGCTGACGGCCTCGATCTAAATACTGTCCAATCAGAGAGGACTTTTTTGGCTGACGGCCTCGATCTAAATACTGTCCAATCAGAGAGGACTTCTTTGGCTGACAGCCTCAATCTAAATACTGTCCAATCAGAGAGGACTTCTTTGGCTGACAGCCTCAATCTAAATACTGTCCAATCAGAGAGGACTTCTTTGGCTGACAGCCTCAATCTAAATACTGTCCAATCAGAGAGGACTTCTTTTGCTGACAGCCTCAATCTAAATACTGTCCAATCAGAGAGGACTTCTTTGGCTGACAGCCTCAATCTAAATACTGTCCAATCAGAGAGGACTTTTTTGGCTGATGGCCTCGATCTAAATACTTCCAATCAGAGAGGACTTTTTTGGCTGATGGCCTCGATCTAAATACTGTCCAATCAGAGAGGACTTCTTTGGCTGACAGCCTCCATCTAAATACTGTCCAATCAGAGAGGACTTCTTTGGCTGACAGCCTCAATCTAAATACTGTCCAATCAGAGAGGACTTCTTTGGCTGACAGCCTCAATCTAAATACTGTCCAATCAGAGAGGACTTTTTTGGCTGACAGCCTCAATCTAAATACTGTCCAATCAGAGAGGACTTCTTTGGCTGACAGCCTCAATCTAAATACTGTCCAATCAGAGAGGACTTCTTTGGCTGACAGCCTCAATCTAAATACTGTCCAATCAGAGAGGACTTTTTTGGCTGATGGCCTCGATCTAAATACTTCCAATCAGAGAGGACTTTTTTGGCTGATGGCCTCGATCTAAATACTGTCCAATCAGAGAGAACTTCTTTGGCTGACAGCGTCGATCTAAATACTGTCCAATCAGAGAGGACTTCTTTGGCTGACAGCCTCAATCTAAATACTGTCCAATCAGAGAGGACTTCTTTGGCTGACAGCCTCAATCTAAATACTGTCCAATCAGAGAGGACTTCTTTGGCTGACAGCCTCAATCTAAATACTGTCCAATCAGAGAGGACTTCTTTGGCTGACAGCCTCAATCTAAATACTGTCCAATCAGAGAGGACTTCTTTGGCTGACAGCCTCAATCTAAATACTGTCCAATTAGAGAGGACTTCTTTGGCTGACAGCCTCAATCTAAATACTGTCCAATCAGAGAGGACTTTTTTGGCTGACGATTCCAACCTAAACAGTGTCCAATCAGAGAGGACTTCTTTGGCTGACAGCCTCAATCTAAATACTGTCCAATCAGAGAGGACTTCTTTGGCTGACGATCCCAACCTAAACAGTGTCCAATCAGAGAGGACTTCTTTGGCTGACGGCCTTGATCTAAATACTGTCCAATCAGAGAGGACTTCTTTGGCTGACAGCCTCAATCTAAATACTGTCCAATCAGAGAGGACTTCTTTGGCTGACAGCCTCAATCTAAATACTGTCCAATCAGAGAGGACTTCTTTGGCTGACACCCTCAATCTAAATACTGTCAATCAGAGAGGACTTCTTTGGCTGACAGCCTCAATCTAAATACTGTCCAATCAGAGAGGACTTCTTTGGCTGACAGCCTCAATCTAAATACTGTCCAATCAGAGAGGACTTTTTTGGCTGACGATTCCAACCTAAACAGTGTCCAATCAGAGAGGACTTCTTTGGCTGACAGCCTCAATCTAAATACTGTCCAATCAGAGAGGACTTTTTTGGCTGATGGCCTCGATCTAAATACTGTCCAATCAGAGAGGACTTCTTTGGCTGACAGCCTCAATCTAAATACTGTCCAATCAGAGAGGACTTTTTTGGCTGATGGCCTCGATCTAAATACTTCCAATCAGAGAGGACTTTTTTGGCTGATGGCCTCGATCTAAATACTGTCCAATCAGAGAGGACTTCTTTGGCTGACAGCGTCGATCTAAATACTGTCCAATCAGAGAGGACTTCTTTGGCTGACAGCCTTGATCTAAATACTGTCCAATCAGAGAGGACTTCTTTGGCTGACAGCCTCGATCTAACTACTGTCCAATCAGAGAGGACTTTTTTGGCTGATGGCCTCAATCTAAATACTGTCCAATCAGAGAGGACTTCTTTGGCTGACAGCCTCAATCTAAATACTGTCCAATCAGAGAGGACTTCTTTGGCTGACAGCCTCAATCTAAATACTGTCCAATCAGAGAGGACTTCTTTGGCTGACGATCCCAACCTAAACAGCGTCCAATCAGAGAGGACTTTTTTGGCTGATGGCCTCAATCTAAATACTGTCCAATCAGAGAGGACTTCTTCGGCTGACAGCCTCAATCTAAATACTGTCTAATCAGAGAGGACTTTTTTGGCTGACGATCCCAACCTAAACAGTGTCCAATCAGAGAGGACTTTTTTGGCTGATGGCCTCGATCTAAATACTGTCCAATTAGAGAGGACTTTTTTGGCTGATGGCCTCGATCTAAATACTGTCCAATCAGAGAGGACTTCTTTGGCTGACAGCCTCAATCTAAATACTGTCCAATCAGAGAGGACTTTTTTGGCTGATGATCCCAACCTAAACAGTGTCCAATCAGAGAGGACTTTTTTGGCTGACAGCCTCAATCTAAATACTGTCCAATCAGAGAGGACTTCTTTGGCTGACAGCCTCAATCTAAATACTGTCCAATCAGAGAGGACTTCTTTGGCTGACGATCCCAACCAAACATGGTCGTTATGCAATCATTGGTTTGATATACTTATTAAGGTGATCTAAAATGTGATGGTTTCCATCGTAGTAAATTCTGCCAGTTTTCACAGAAATTTCCGTTTCAGAAACTGCCAAACTAAACATGGCAGAAAAAGTCTGCCACTTTCCTGTTGAAAAATTCATGGATCTGCTATCTCTGAAATAAAATGGCAAATATGCAAAAAAAACTAAAACAATAAGTAGATAAAAAAAAAAATCTGATTTAACAAATTGCATAAAAGATTCAATAACACTTTGATAAATCTCCACCTAATCCCTTGTATTAGGTCCAAATGTCACTTGATTATTGTGGACATCAAATCAAAGGATGTATTTTAAGGTGTGTTGGAGCGCCTCTCATATTGTTTAATATCTACTGTTTCTGTGGTGGAACCAGAGTCTATGTGGCCTCTACTAAGTGCTCTCCTCCATTTCTTAGTCCCAGGATATAAACAGCGCAATCAGAGAGGAGTTCCTAGCTGACACTCCCAACTTAAAAACTGGTCAATCACAGAGCCAACAGACCTTCCTGGGAGGAATTCAGTCTTTGTAGAGGACCTGAAGCTCTTGTACTAAGATCCAGCTCTGTGCATTCAGATTAGCAGATTTACCAAAGGCATAAAGATGGATCTAGCAGCTTTAAGAAATAACAATAGAGATTCCACCCTCTCACCAGTTAGTAAATATCTCCATAATCGGACTGAATAAGGATACATATCACAAAATGTCTAATTAGATCTAAACTAAACCTGTTGTGGGCAAGAAATGTACATAAAAAACTGATGGTTTTATCTGTACACCTTCCGTTGGGTAATATTGCAATGCAGTGTTTATATAACTAGACAATCTTTAATCTGCTCACGGCTCAATAAATTCACAGTTTATAGTAATAAGATAATATCTCGACTTTCATAAATAAGGCTGATCTGCCTATTTACTTCCTTACGTCAGCTAGGATGACTTTTTCAGAGCACACATGGGGGTTAGAAGTAGTGGAAAAAAGGGCATTTTCCTTATGAGCTTGAAGATTCTGTTTAAAGAATCCTGTTAACTCCTCAATAGCCAAACGTGCCACAAGGCTTGAGCCAATGGCAGAGCAAAAGGGATGAGTTAATAATATTTTGATAACTTTACATTAACTGTTTGTGTTCATATGGCATCGAAATGATTTATACCAAGGTTTTTTAACCCCTTCTTGGTGTGGAGCTGCTCCAGGTAGGGTTTAACCTCAGTTCACTCCTTCAAATACTTATTTGAACTATGGGTACTAAACCAGGAATTATTAAAAAAAAAAAAAGGGAATAGCTAATTTTAGTGAAAATGTATGGATTAGAGAAGTTTTCGAATTTGGCCTAATTCTTGGTTTAGTAATACATAACCCCTATGCGTTACGTTTTTTTCCCATTAAAACGGTTCAAACCGCGCTGGAAGCATTTGAAAAGACAAATCAGCCCAAGCCTAACGAGTTAAAAAAGGCTTTAATATGTCATATGTTTAGATAAGGATTAGGAGCTGAAGTACTACATTTTTTCTTTTAAGTTAGGGTTTCTCTTTGATGTAATTGGGAATTGTTGTTAAAATGCCATTTTTCCCTTTGTGTGCTTTTTATTTTTTATTCGAAAGATGCAGCGTCCGTCAGGCGATGACAGAAGACTAAGAGCAGAACAAAAATATTATTTGACATGGATTGTATGTACAGGCCATTGTTATTTGGTAACCTGCATGTTAAGCTGAAATAATGACATCTGGCAGCTGTCTTCAACAACAGATATTGAACAGAACGCAAGAGATGGGGCTCATTGTCACATTATTACTCCACAATATATAAAGTAAACAAATTAAATGATTGTTAAAGACACAAACTTACAACTGTCATATTTACAAAATACAACAAACCAATTTTATTTTTTTTTCAAAACAAAACAAGTTTTTTATTTTCTATTTTCTTTTATGTATATAGATCATAAAAGAAAGAATAAAGACAAAAAAGACAAAGGAATTGCATTTTTGTAGAAGATAAGGGATTTACACAAGGCAAACAGAGGTGGCTCAAAATATTACTATGCCCTTAGCGACAAAATTCAAAAGGATTGATTCAGATGTATAATATTATTTATTACAATGCAGACGAGAAACACATTTCATATACAATATACACAACACGCTTTCCTATGGAGATTCCTGCTAGTGACATGCTGTTCTGGACCTGATATCTCTGGTTTAACAAAGTTCCATAAGTTAGCTCTGGGATTGTTTTACAGAATGACATGTAGTCCCTGCTTTCCCTTATGTGTTTTATAAAAACTAGAGAGCTCAGTTTAAAATAAAGATTTAGACACAGGGAGCTGAATAAAAGAAGATTAGACCAAGTTTATTTTTGTGAAAAGTAGAGCGGTAGTTATAAAAAAGTGGAAATGTACTCACTAAGCAGAGAGTTGTGGTGACTTGCAAAATGACATCCACAATAGCGGCTAAAAAAACCTGGATCACAAAGATTCGCCGGCTTGAGATTTTGTCCAATTCTTCAATTCACGTTTTAGTGAAAGGTTCCCATGAGTAGCATTTCACGAAAGATACACAGCTTTAGCTTTGGTAACTGGAGCCGACAGGAGCAGAATAGAGTGTTGGATTTAAATGTGAAGATTGATGCAGTTACAATGTATCAGATGATTTCAGTACTAAGTATGGTACCGTATCCCCACAATGTGCTCTAACAGAACTGGGTATAGTGCCGTACCCCCACACTGTGCTCTAACAGTACTGGGTATAGTACCGTACCCCCACAATGTGCTCTAACAGTATAGGGTATAGTACCGTCCCCCATAATGTGCTCTAACAGTACTGGGTATAGTACCATACCACCACAACGTGCTCTAACAGTGCTGGGTATAGTACTGTACCCCCATAATGTGCTCTAACAGTACTGGGTATAGTACTGTACCCCCACAATGTGCTCTAACAGTACTGGGTATAGTGCCGTACCCCCACAATGTGCTCTAACAGTGCAGGGTATAGTACCGTACCCCCAAAATGTTCTCTAACAGTACTGGGTATAGTATCGTACCCCCACAATGTGCTCTATCAGTACTGAGTATAGTACCATATCTCCACAATGTGCTTTTACAGTACTGGGTATAGTACCGTACCCCCACACTGTGCTCTAACAGTACTGGGTATAGTGCCGTACCCCCATAATGTGCTCTAACAGTACTGGGTATAGTACTGTACCCGCACAATGTGATCTAACAGTACAGGGTATAGTACCGTCCCCCACAATGTGCTCTAACAGTACAGGGTATAGTACCATACCACCACAAGGTGCTCTAACAGTACTGGGTATAGTACCGTACCCCCACAATGTGCTCTAACAGTACTGGGTATAGTGCCGTACCCCCACAATGTGCTCTAACAGTACTGGGTATAGTATCGTACCCCCACAATGTGCTCTAACAGTACTGGGTATAGTACCGTACCCCCACACTGTGCTCTAACAGTACTGGATATAGTGCCGTACCCCCACACTGTGCTCTAACAGTACTGGATATAGTGCCGTACCCCCACAATGTGCTCTAACAGTACAGGGTATAGTACCGTACCCCCACAATGTGCTCTAACAGTACTGGATATAGTGCCGTACCCCCACGCTGTGCTCTAACAGTACTGGGTATAGTACCGTCCCCCATAATGTGCTCTAACAGTACTGGGTATAGTACCGTACCCCCACACTGTGCTCTAACAGTACTGGATATAGTGCCGTACCCCCACACTGTGCTCTAACAGTACTGGGTATAGTACCGTACCCCCACAATGTGCTCTAACAGTATAG